CTCTTTCCTGTAAAGAGGAAATGATGCCCAATGAGAACAGGACAAGTAGTAATGGGCTAAATTGGAGAATGTCCAGCTTATGTTAATGAAAATTATTTTAAGAGTTCTTTACACCAGTGTCTTATAGGGATAGTGAAATCTCCATCCACATAGATTTTTAAGGACTTGTTAAATTATTTTAAATGTATATTTGTCTGAGTATAATTGATCCTGCCATAGAACAGAGGGATCAACCATTCAGTTCTGTTTTATGTTGTCCTATTAGTGTTTCACAGTCTTAAGAATTTCATGTTTCTGTTTACCTTGCTACGGAATGACTTCTCAGCTATTTTTTCCTTCTTGGTTTTTAGACACAGACATCAGTGAGTCCGGTATTTCTGTTAGAAGCACTGGTTCAGCTGCTTCTATGACCAGCCAAGGTGAGCGAAAGAGGAGGACACTTCCACAGCTTCCCACAGAGGAGAAAGTGAATGAAAATTCAAAAGCAAAAACTACATCTCATCAGAGATCAGAAATAGGTGAAAAGCAGGACACTGAACTTCAGGAGAAAGAAACTCCAGCTCATGCCTCAGATGCTGACAGCAGAAGAATAGCTAAGTCCAGCAGAACAATGAATGGTCTTTCGCCCAAAGCTACTGGAGACAAAATTTTTTCTTTCCCCACCTCTTCCACTAAAGAGAGAGTTGAAACTGGCAGAGAAACTTCTGTGGTGAAGCAAGCTTTAGCAAAAATTCAACAACAAGAAAGAAAGGAGCAAGGACACTGGACACCCTCAAAATTATCCTCTACAAAATCTGCTGCAAACCAGGTTGAGAAGGGTAGGGAGGAGATTGCTATGTCACCCAAAACTTTGGATAAACAAGACAAAGCTCCTGGACATGTTACAGATAAAGCAGAAATTAAGTTGGCACAGAGTGAAGGAAAAAGAAGAAAAAACGAGGAAACTGTTAAAGGACAAAGTCCTAAAGCACCTGGAGGAGAAAAAAAGGAGTCTTCAAAACCATTAGTGAGGCAGGGTAGCTTTACTATAGATAAGCCTAGCACAAATATACCTATAGAACTTATTCCTCACATTAATAAGCAAAGTGGATCAGCTGCCCCTTTAGCATCTGCTAGCAGGATACGTGACAGAAGTGATTCAATGGACACTGATTCCAGTCTAGATACAACACTTATTTTAAAAGACACAGAAGCTGTAATGGCTTTCCTTGAAGCTAAATTGCGTGAGGAAAATAAAACTGATGAAGGACCTGAGACTCCTAGCTATAACAGAGATAATTCCATATCACCTGAATCAGATGTAGATACAGCCAGCACAATCAGTCTTGTTACCGGTGACACTGAAAGAAAATCCACGCAGAAGCGGAAGAGCTTTACGACCTTATATAAAGACCGATGTTCCTCTGGTTCCCCTTCAAAGGATGTTTTAAAATCTTCTGCAACAAGTGCCAGAGAAAAGATGGAAAAGAAAACTAAAAGTCGATCTTCAGATGGTGGGTCTAGAGCTGATACTCGCAAAACTGTGCAATCCAGTGGAAGAATGAGACAACCGTCAGTAGATTTGACAGATGATGACCAAACTTCTAGCGTACCTCATTCTGCCATTTCTGATATCTTATCATCTGACCAGGAAACCTACTCTGGCAAATCACATGGGAGAGTTCCTTTTGCCTCAGCAGATGAACTCTTGCATTCCAAAATGGAAGGGAAGTCAGCCAAATCAAAAACCTCTCCTGTTGCACTGGGGCAATCTAGTAAATCTACCACTCTTCCAAGACCTCGTCCTACAAGGACTTCCCTCTTGCGCAGGGCACGGCTTGGTGAAGCCTCAGATAGCGAGCTTGCTGATGCTGATAAGGCTTCAGTGGCTTCTGAAGTGTCCACTACAAGTTCTACATCAAAACCTCCATCAGGGAGGAGAGGTATTTCCAGAATAGACGTACTTGCTCAACCTCGCAGAACTCGACTTGGCTCTTTATCAGCTCGTAGTGATTCTGAAGCAACAATAACTAGAAGCACTGCCTCATCTCGTACCCCAGAAGCTATTATCAGAAGTGGTGCAAGGTTAGCATCAGCAGATGGCACTAAAGTTGCTGCTAGAACTCGAGCCAATAGCATTTCTCGACTCTCAGATTCAAAATCCAAATCTTTGGCTTCAGCTCATAATTCTCCCTCAGGTATGTGAAATTATTTAAACTGGTCTTATACAATACTAGGTGTTTTTAATCTGTGGATTTTTAATTTTTTTGGTTTTTATGGAACAGTTTTTATGAAAAATTTGTTGAGTTTTAGTTGATGCAGTCTCTCTCTTTGGAGGAAGATGCTTCCTTGGCAGGACTTGTGGCTGTTTCTCACTTAAAATCACTAAGACAATAAATTGTAATCCTTTAACTGTATGGATATTTTTTAAAACTGGGAACCAGTAATAAAGAATTGCATTGAGGCGTTCATATGTGGCAGCACTGATTTGCATTCGTACAAAAACAAAGCAGAACTCTTGAACTCTTTGCTCAAGTCACAGTGTTAGAAGTTCAGAAAGTCAGCAGCACTTTTTCTCCATAGAAGGGAGAATATTTATTTGTAAAGTAGGCTTGTAAATATGCTGAACAGCAAGTTTTCCTGGAGGTATACACTGAGCATCTGTAGGATAATTATAACTTAAGATTAGCTACAAAAGTGAGATTTGTTTGTTAAGAGTAATAACAATGAAGTAACAAATGGAAAGATTAAATGCAAACAGCACCTAACTAAATATCGTAAAGTAATTTATATTAAAATGTTTGCCTTGCCTTGGAGTAGTTCTTGTTCTCCGTTCCGAATCATGATTCACGATTTCATCACAATTTCCAAATCCTGTTGATCTTCTTTTGTGTGGTAGTTCCTTTACTATAATATTATCCTATGCATGGAAGGAGAAGTTTATACAATTGATTAATTTTAACCTACTATTCTGTTACAAGTTAACATAACACTTCAAGTGCAAGCAGGGTGAAAGGCTACTAGTTTTTGGTTTGGTTTGGTTTGGTTTTTTCCAAAAGCAATATGAAATCAACCAAATTAAAATATGTAATTCTAAATAAGTCAACTTTCATGTGGAATGAATGTCTAAGATGTATGTCCTTTTTGAATTATCATACCACCAGCTTGACCTTATCTGAAGCCAATCCACAATCCAAGAAAAAATAAATAGAATAGCTTCCAGTGCTGCTACTGAGATTATATATTCTGCTTTAATACTTCCCATTCAGTGTTGATATAAACATCTGTGATACTTAAATTTCCCACAGTTCTACTGCTCTTTTGTTGCTTGCATATCAAAAATGAACCTTGTTAGGTTCTTAGCAGGGTTTATTCCCCATATTTTGGCAGGTATATTTTGGCTGTGTCATTTATCAGCTGAATAGAAATTTCTGTAGAGATAGAAATGAAATGTTCACTGAACTGTGAAGTTGAATGTTTAATATTAAGACAGGTATCTACAAAGGTACAAAAAAAGGTGAAACGTAGAGAAAAACTCAAGTCTTTCCCTGTAAGATATTATTTGAAAAGTAGCATGTTTCCATTTTTAATCAAAGTTCTCAATTAATATGTGCAGACTGAAAAATGGTCACGCACATTAGGTCAGGGAAGTGTCAGTTAAGACTGCTTCTATACGTTTCCTTTAATAATTAACACTAGTTCACATCATGATATTACTGATTTTTTTGAAGAGGTAGACCCCAGATGCTACTTGTCACTTGGCTGTTTCTTGTGTTTTTCGCAAATCTATATGTGGATTTTGAGTTTTGTGTCCATGTGACCTATTGCATGCTTCCTAAACTATTCCCAGGTCGTTGGCATTGAAGTGGTTTGCTACTTCTGTTCAGGGCAGTGGGTGTATCTTCCCAGCCTGCTAGTCTATCAGTCATCTTTGTTTAATGTTCATTTCATTTACCTGCATTGCACAGTCAGCGTTTACTATAGCTTGTATAGAATACTCTGTTTTCAAGAGAGAAAAGATGCCATCTTCTCATGAGCTACCCCATCATAATAAGATAGGTGTTTCAAAAAGACCGTTGTTAGAAAAATCAGCAGTAGAAATAACCTCTGTCTTAAAAAACTTTATCAGTTTATAGATCAAAAATCAAGTAGAAGCCTGTATCAATGTAAAGACAAAAATCTGAAAGCAGTGAATAAGCAGTCAGCTACTTTCAAAACAAAATTGTGGCTTAATAAATCAATCAAGTCTTGTTACTATGTAAGTAAAGAATTAGTACTGCTGTTGAGGATATGGAGTTCTGGACTTTGTATTGGTAAGCTTATTTTATGATTTTTTCACTGCGCTCTGTAGAGTATACGTTAGGAGAATCCGAACTGCTTTAAAAGTGCAAATAATCCCTCCCTTTACACATAGGCCACTACTCAGTACCTCCCCATTTTCCCATTAGCACATTATGAAATAATGCGAATAACTACCTAACACGTCAAGTTACTTATTATTTTATCCGAAATATGTTTAAAACATCTTTGAATAGAACGTGTTGCATGGAAATGTGATGTAGCAGAAGTTGTTAGATCCAAAAATATAATTCCTGAATTTAATTTTGTTTCTAGGAAGTGAACAATTCACTTAATTTTAGCTCTTTCAGAAATCACTAATGAAGTGCCTGACAAGACTGCCTCAACTTCTTTGAATGTGTTTTACTTGGGCACATTTAATCAAGGCATAATCGATGTATTTTCTTATCTCCCTTGACCTAGAAAAACTGGAAAATGAATGATTATTACTACTATATAGTTTTTTCTTTAACCAGAAGACTGGTTGCTACTGAAGTGTTAAAAATGTTCCATGCATCTTCCCAGCAGAGTTCAGTTAATGTTACCACATTTTAGATCGCTAAACATTGGCAGCAGGATCTTGCTTCTTAAATCCAGTGTACCAAAGAGAAAATGTATTTTTTTTTTTTAATATTCAGACATACTTGCCTGTAAAAAGGGAGGAAGAAAGCTATAATCACTGGATTTTTTTATTGTCTTGTACTTCATGTGGATGAATTGCAATATAAAAGCATTATAATTGTCAGAGCTGTCAGCAAGCCCATAATTTCAAAAATCTTTTTTAAGCTTCGATACAGTTAAGTATTGCTTACTTTTAAATGAAGGGACAAGCAGGTAAATGGACAGTCTTGAATGCAAATTACCAGCATTAAAGTAATTACCAGGGTGTTTCTGTGTTAGGAGGTTTGATAACTGACAGCAGTGAAGCACAATTTGTAGTTTTATAGCACAAGCAATGAAAGATTTAATTGTGGCACTAAATCATCAAACAGTAGAGTGTGATCAATAAAAACAGGGAAGACGACAGACTTTTTTCCACAACTGTAGAGGAAAATTGAAGATGATGTTACAGGAGGAGCTATGTCTTGGGAAAATGAAGAACAGGATCAGATCTAGTGCAAAAGTGCTAAACTGCAACTGTAAAATTAAGCATTGAGTCAGAAGAGAGAGACCTTGAGCAGCTAGTTGTGATGTTTTTATTAGATTAAGTATATAATCAGGAAACTTTTTGAGATCCAGAACTCAGACTTTATTAAGCATAATAAATATGTCCTCAGATGGTACAGGTGAGATTATGGTGCCCAGGTCATTAAACTTGCTGGCTTAAATTGTTGTCAACACATTGTACTTCTCACAAGAGTAGTCGCCAAATCAGGTTTGCCTGTTGATTATTTTAGCCAGGGTTTTGGAGGATTTTCTAGTTATTGGTGCTGATATTCAGAGTGTTTGGTATCTGAGATAACATGATAACTTTCAGAAATCTACATAGTAAACTACAATGGCATTTGGGGCTACAAAATTTGAGTAGTATTAAAAGCATATATGTGCAAATGTGTAGCTAGGTTAATGGGAAACATGCTTGGATATTGCTTAGCATGAATCACGTAACAGATTTTTATTTACTGTTAAGCCTACAATAACTTTTACCCAATATTAAAGAGAAACCCATTGATAATACACAAATAAACAACATTTTAAGGCCTTAAAATTTAATGGTCTTAAAAAATGTAGAGGGATTTTATGGTACTTTGTAGACAATGGTTATTGATCTCATTTCAGTTAGTATGTCTGAAATGTTTAAGCTTTTACAAAATTCACTATTTTTGATTGAATGTATAAATTAGGAATCTTTTCCTAAAAAGTGTGGGTGCAAAAGAGGACCTAAGACTAATATCATCAATATATTTTATTTAAGCAAATGCTTCTAATGTTTCAATACAAATTAACATGATAAAACACTATTTTGTACACAGAGAAATCCAAGCTTCTCCCAGACCCAGATCCCGATGTTGAAACTTACAGTGGTAGAGTACTAGAAATCAAATCTGCTTCTGATATTTCACTTCTCATTCAATTTTTAGTTTTTAAATATATGACTACATATGCTCATTGTACAGTGCTGAGTTGCTGGACTAGCTCACTTCAGAGATTTTAAGATAAATTTTGTATTTATTTTGATGCATATAATTTTAACGGAGACAATTTAAACAAAAATTGACGATAAAATGTGGGCCCAACTCATAAAGCTCTTTGGACTTCAGTCACACATTGCTTGCATGCTACTCGTGGGGAATTGTGCTTTTTCTGCTTATGTTCTACTTCCCGAAGTTCAAAACAAGTTTGAAACCTCTAAAAAGAAAAACAGTAAGTGACTGAAGAGACACTTTTATTTTCTTCAGTAAAGTTAGACTATTAAAAATAATTTGTAGAAGTGGACTTGATTTGAAGCCCACATTTAAACCTGAAAAAATTACACAAGCATATTTTTGTTTTCAGTGTATAAAAATTCATTATTTATGTGAGGGAAGGGATGTAAGCTTATACACCAATGTCATATTCTATATACTGTGACCTTTGAGAGCATTACACAAATCTTTTCTCAACTAAAAATTACTTTCATTTTTTGTTACTTAGATTCATGTTGATGTAAACTTCATTTGTGATGTCTTTTTAAATGTTTCAGGAGAAATCATTCTTCTTGCATTTTTCTTATACTAGGACAATATGTACTTGAATCTGTTATTTTTAAATTACCAAGAGGTGCTCATGTGCTTAAAAAAATTTCTACTGTAATTACAGAGCCTCAACGGATGTCAGTAAGTTTGGGAGTCTAAATCCCCTTCAACATTTTAGTAGGTTGTTTGGATGAGCATTCCTTTACACTTAGTGGTCTCTCTTCGCTTCCTGGGAACTTGTGGACAGCATACCTGAAATGCTTTCTCTAGACTTCAGGAATTGATAGGGGGACGAGAGCCTCACACTTCGTTTCAGTTCTCTTATAACTCAGGCTCTCTTCAGCAGTGTGGTTGTATATGCTTTATGTGCTATATGTGAGAAAATATGCTTTCTGCTCTGAGGCGGCTTTTTTTGGTAGATGTGCTGCTGGTATTTATAACATAGTATTAACTTTAAAATATTTGTGTATGAAATACATAATGCATCATCTAGGTTTTTTGTGCTTTCCTTGTGTAAGCATGCATTCCAGGCTTGGTGCCAGCTCCATCCTTCCTTCATGTCTATTTATTTTTTGTGTATCACATAAACCTTGAATGAAACGGGGAAAAAATCTGCAGAAAAAGTGCAATCTGACTGTATACTTAAATGTTAATGAATTGGGCCCTTGTTTTGTAATACAGTTTGCTTGACCTCATATACAATTACTGGCTTTTACATCTAATTTCACTCATCATTATACAAAGAGCATCCATTTTATGTTTTTATTAATCAATATTATTTAACACAAATCTTACAGCTTTCTTTTCAAGATGTAGTAAATAAACCTTTGTGAGGTATCTGGGGATTGGTAATTAATAGTTGTGCATTTTTGTGATATTACTGAAATAATACTGTTTTTTCTTATTAAAGATGCAATAATAATTCTTTTTTAATAATTAAACTAATTTAGTAAGTGCAAGATGGAGGCGCTTTCCTACAGATTATGCTTCCACCTCAGAAGATGAATTTGGATCAAACCGTAATTCCCCTAAACATACCCGTCTACGTACCTCTCCAGCCCTGAAAACCACACGACTGCAGAGCACTGGGACAGCAGCTCAAAGTAGCAATACATTCAAGCACAGAATAAAGGAACAAGAAGACTACATTCGTGACTGGACTGCTCACCGAGAAGAAATAGCAAGGTTGGTTTTAAAGGAGCGCCTCTAAAATAACACAGTACCCAACCTCTTATACAGATAGATGAAGAGAGGTGATGGATTTTCTGTACCGCTCTACTTGCTGTTTTCATTCACTAACTGCTTGGGTAATTTAAAATTCTTCTTAAGAGAGACTAGCAGACAGAACGCTCATGTTACCAGCACATCTCTTTCTAATGGAAAAATACAGTAATTTCTGATTTACGATAGTCAGATCCCGGAATATGGGACAACTTCTGGTTGCATTAGTGGGACTTGCGAAGGTACTCTGTGTAGAACTTTTAGTTGCTAAAGGCGTGTTTCCGGAGGCTGAAGTGTATCTGGTTTTGTACTACTTTTACATTCATACTGAGGTAAAATTTCAGATCAATGCATAGGTGACAGAGAGGAAAAAGTGATTTTGGTAATGTGAGAGACACTGTTCTCATTTTATTTTTGGTTTATCTAGACATTATTTCATGTAAGATATTTTCTGATTTAAGTCATACGTATTCATCAAAAAGTAATTTCTTTTGTTGTGAGTCCCTGAGACTAGTGTAACAATTCCTCCATTAATAGCACTCTGCTTCAAATAAACCAAGGAAATTCTACTTTCTGGTGACCAATCATTCCCTTATCATGCAATGCCCAGGCAGTGAAAATTTCAAATAGCTTGCAGTAAATGAGGAATACTATGTAAGTGTATAATTGTTATTTAAAACTTAGATGCCAGTGTTCAAGTATTGAACCTTTTCACGGAACTTAGTTTGGAAGGCTAAACAAAAATCATAGAAACATAGAATGGTTAGGGTTGGAAGGGACCTTAAAGATCATCTAGTTCCAAGAAGTATATTTACCTGTTTAATCTTAACAGTGTGGCCTTGCAGATGTGAAGTGTTTTGTTCTACTTAATTGGATTATTTTTTGTTTCCTCCTCTTGGTAATATTTTTCAACATTTGTTTTTCTGTCATAGCCTGTGCAAAGGGAAAACAATAAAGGGAGTCTGATCACAGCTTCATAAATCATGAAATAAACATCTTCAGAGGCATCTTCCTAACTCTTTCCGTGGATCTAAGTTTGAGATGGATATAGGGATGAATGTGTGTATATGAAGAACAAAATTGAAGGTAGCTATAGCATATAACTTCCTCCTAGATAGTGAGGCTGAACCTCTTCTTCAGTGAAACTTCCTGGTATATTTTGCTCATCTAAGAGACATTGACACTGGAAGGAATTGATGATTCAGTTTGAACTTATTTATGGTTATGCTTGCAGGTTTTTTCTTCCTTTGGGCTTCTTAACATTTTCTTCTTTTAGATACTGGGTTTAAATTTGTTTTGAAGACTATGTACTTGCCCTACCTTTTTCAGCTTCATGTATTTCCAGTGGAAGTGGTGAGAGGCTCAAATTGGCATTGTCAAATTTGTGATTGTGTACAGAAATTTCACACAAACTGCATGAAATGAGCAGATTTAAGGTTAAGGCGGCTAGCACTCAGCAGCTGAGAAATGCCAGGCTACTGCCTCATCTGTTGTCACTGCTTCCAACACCAGTTTCTTTGGTTAGCCACTGCTGAGCTCCCCTGCTCTGGGTCACTGGTTGGTCCCTTCTGCGCCTCCATATCTCTGCTCTGATTCACAGTATTGCACCCCTGGCTTTATGCCTAATTTCTGCCCTTTATGAGATAATTTTTGCCTCTGCCTCCTTTGTCTTGCCCTAACCATAGTCTCCCCTCTGTCACTGCCTACCCTGGTGGGTATTTTCCTTCACAGACCTCAATTCAGTCTCTGTGATCAGAGTCCCTTGAAGTCTGTCTAGAGTTTTTAAAGATATTGTCTTTTTTTTTTTTTGAATAATTGATTAGATTAGGCAGGTGTCAACATAAGTATTTCATAAATGTGCAGCTGAAAGGAGTGTAAAGACTGTATGACAAACATTTCATCTGTGTTACCATCATACTGTATTTTAACTGGTCTTCCAAGATTGATCCAGTTCGCACTTTTCACAGATTCTGCAATTTGCAGGTGTTCATAAAACTGAGACTTGGAAAGAGGTGTTTAAACAAACTTAATGGAATAACTAAATTTGATCTAAACCCACTTTGGCCTGGTGAGAATATATACCCTCAGAATAACAGGGGCTTCACATATATATTATTTAAGGTTTTTAAGGTATCGTTGCCAAATAAACTGACATAGTGTAGGAAGTGTGACATAATAGACAAAGCATAAAAATGGTTTTGGTAATCCAGCTGTTCAGAGCTATTACAGATATCTTATAAGTTTTTTTCTAATACTATGGGTATTCTTTCTCTACAGGTAAGTAAGAAGTAAAGTTCCAGGCTGTTGAAAAAGATAGCCACAGTCTCCCCATCCCAAGCCCTGTGTTCTCACATTTTCCTTTGCATTGGAAAGTACGTCTGTCCCTTATGTAACTGCGTAACTGCAGGAGTCTGCTCTCTGAGCAAATGTAATAGCAATATTTGCCGAGCAGGCGGGGGGGTTAGGGAATTTGAGGTTTATTTTAGTTCACCTCCTTGAGTTGATTTGCCATGTATGATGGCTAGGTCTCATGCAGTAGAAATCTGCAAGGCAATCTACAGTTGCAACAGAGTAAATAGTGCACACCTAAAGCCCAATTCTCTGGTCCATTATTACACAAAACATACTCCTCATACTTAAACTCTGTTTTTAAAAGTTAATGTACTTGAAAACTTAAGAAGAGTCAGGCCCAACTCTGCTAGTTTCTGATTTTCTTTTTCATAATGCTTTTTGTTTAGCTCTCTATTGTTTCTCTACACGCTACTGAATACTGACTATAGCTTACCATCACAGTGAAACTAATTCCAGATTTAGTTCACTTGACTAGTGTTTGACTGTGATGATTGTCTAACAAGTTGCTTGCCATCCAAGTTAGAGTTGTACACTATGATATTTTCCGGATTCAATTGAATTCATTCAGAGTTAAGTCTTAGTTGATGGATACTACTTTGATTATGGTGTTTAATGACATTTGTCTTCTGGAGGATTTTCTGATAAATGAAATTTCCTGGGTTTTATTTTCTTCACAACTATTTATTAAATACAAAAATTTGTCCTAGAAATTCAAACATGATTATTAGCTACTTCTCTGTTTAAGAAAAAAATTGTGTGTTTTTTTGTAACAAAGAAATTAGGTGCTGAAGAATCTCTACTGCTCAGAATACTAGCTCTAAACTTGGTGTTTTAATATATCTATATAGTATATTTAGTATATCTAAGAACATGAAATATAAAATAGACCCAAAAGATGTAGTAATCAGGTTAAAGTAATGTAATAATAGGCACTTATCATATTTTAATTTATAAAATCAAGCAATATGCTTGGTTTCTGCTTTATTGTTCCTATCTTTGATATTTTGAATATTTTAAACTATATTTTGATAGTTTGAATTCAGTAATACTGTCCTGAGTGGTCACTGGTAATTGCCACATATTCTTCTACATCCTTATCCCAATTCTGTGTGTATCTCTGCTGCACAAGGTTGCGCTTTTCTTGCGGGATTGCTGATGGTTAGTCACAAAATCCAGTGCTGGAATTTGGAAATTTCTCTAATTATGTTTGTCTTCCTAGTTTAAATTCTGCTCACTCAGTCCTCAGTCCTAAACTATCTGTAGGTCACTGGTGTTCATTCTTTTGCACTTGAAGACAAAGTGAAAATAAAGAGCAAAAAGAAGCTCACCTCTGCCGAGCACTGGCCATCACAGTGTGCCTCATGCTCACGTGACTCTGCAGCTCCTTCCCCTGCGTGGGGGGCTGCTCTTCACGGGGTCCTTGGAGCGCAGAATTGGCACTGTTGACTGCTTCGCCTTCAGTCCTCTCCGACAGAAGTGTGAAGGGGGATCACTTGGTGGGCCGCTCTCAATTCTAGGTCTCAACTGCCTCATCCAAGCTGGAGATTCAGGGTGCCACAGTTAGTTAGGGGGCTTTTAGCTTTTGCTTTTGGTGTGGGTTTTTTCCCTCCCTCCTTCTTTTGGGGTGTCCTGCAGAGGAGTAGGATAAGCAGAGCTGGGCAAGCTTCCTCCTTGTGCTGAGCAGAATACGGAGCAGACATATTTTGTGATGTGGTGGATCAGAAGAAAGGAAGTGGAATCTTCAGCTGAGAAGTCAGATGTATTTGTGTAGTGCTAGCATATCTAGCCTTTTACAGGCATGTTCTGTTTTTCCAGCTAGAAAGCTTGTCTTGATTAAATTTGAGGATTTCGTGTACTAGTCTGGAATTTCAGGCACGTAAGCAGCTTGATCTGAGCAAGTTGCAGGGCTGCTGGATAATCCGAGGTCCTGAAGAAGTTCTCTGCAAGTAGGAATACTGAGGTATAAATTACATGTGTTCTGAGCATCTCAAATTTACTGCATGTACACAGGTCATCTGTGCAGCATTTTCATTTTATTTCCACCACATCCGATGTGTGCATGTTGCACAACTCTGCCTGGGAATCCTAGGAAGAAAGCAAGGATGCTTTGTCTTTGGAGATTGCCTTCTACCACCTTCTTCTAGAAAGACATGTTATTGAAAGCTTTAAATTTGCTTTTATGGTTCTACAAATAAACTCTCAGTTTATAAAGGCATGCACATTTTCATAGCGCAGTTATCAGGAACTAGAACTTCGAAGCTCAAAGGCTACAGGTTGGGCTCTACTGGTCCTGAAGTATTTGTAAGGGAGTATGTAACACTGTCTTTATTACTAGGATCAGTCAAGATCTGGCTCTCATCGCACGGGAAATCAACGATGTAGCAGGAGAGATAGATTCAGTGACTTCATCAGGCACTGCCCCCAGTACCACAGTAAGCACTGCTGCCACCACCCCTGGCTCTGCCATAGACACTAGAGAAGAGGTAGGAGATCTTCATGGAGAAATGCATAAGGTTCTTCCTTTTCTTTATTTCTTTTGCTTTTAGCATTTTGCATAGCCTTTTTAGTTACTTCCACTCAACCTGTGTGCATGATCTCCTACATTGTTTTTTGATTTCAAGTTCCTTTACATTTCAACTTGGAAATTGTTCCACGAACACAGCTTGTCAAAAGGATGTATACTATCTGTCTGTCTTTTTTTCCACGAAACAAAGGACAAGGTAGTTATTTGTTTCTTGCTTGTCTGTAGCCTTGGATACCATATAGTATCTAAGTGCATCTAAAGATACTAGTTTGTATGCACAAATATAGATAAACGTATACATTTAATACATTGCATAGCTGTTAAAAAAGTCCCTCTCTTCACAGGTGACATTAAATTTTTCTATTCTGAACACTGAAATACTTAGGTACCATCACTTAACAATAACTCCAGATTTTCTTTCTTAATAACATTGTTGAAAACTGCCCTGAAAGAAGTTTGCTTTGTGCTTCTAATAATTCTTATTTTCTTCGACTCTCTCTGGTGTGCTATTCTATGAATATATTGACTAACTTGTTCTAGTACCCATCACAGGTCTAATGCTGGTAAACATGTTAATCTGAATTTAAATCATCATTTTCTACCATATTACAATTCACCCTAATATGTTGTAAATGTTTACTGCATTTCTTTTTTCTTCATAGTATTCCTATCAAAATGTGTTTATTCATTTTTGTGTGCATAAAGTTTGGTTAATACATTAGTTTACTGTGCTTAGTATAATGCTGTCTTTTTCTGTGGAAAAAAAGATATAAACAGTAAAGAATCTGAGTTGTGTACTCAAAAAATTGAAACTGCACTCACAAAGATTTCAGTTTTAATTCTTGTGGATTATGGCTAAACTTTAAGGAAGTAAAATGCTCACTTTCTCAGATCCAGTTGGATCACTGATTTTTATATTTCTAAATAATTACTTTCTGCTTAAAAAAATATTGTACAGTGTGTACATACTACTGCAGGTGGCAGTATCTCCTTTAAGTAGGTATAGGTGTTTCTGTAACACGATGACCAATCTGTAAAAAAACCCCAAACTACATTTCATAGTACTCTACTTAATTCCACACATATATTCCATTAATTAAAGGAATAAATTATTCAAGACCAGTTTGTAGGTAACTATTATGTTGCCTGCCACAAGGAAAATTTCTGTGGGGTAGTCCAATTTTGCCATGAATGTCTGGTATTTGAAAAAGAAAGACCTTCATTTTTACAAGGTATTGTTACATAAGAGGTGCATCATTTAAAACTATGCAAGACAACAGAATGATTTTTATTTGATAGGCTTCTTGTAAACTGTTTCAGAAGGAAAAAAAAATATTAATCTGTTCTTGCATGAATTCAGTAGGTTCATAAATGGCATTTTTCTTTACCCCACAGTTAGTTGACCGACTATTTGATGAAAGTCTCAATTTTAGAAAAATCCCTCCACTAGTGCATGCCAAACCACCAGAGGGGAATAGTCGGCCTAATGATGCTCGACCGCAACTAACAGAGGCCCTTGATCCTCCAACAATTACCCGGAGAAGGACTTGGAGCAGAGATGAAGTGAGTACACAACAGGATTCTCTAGCAATGTGTCTATTTTAAGCTTTTACAGTTGTGTCCCCACTTAATATTCTAGACACTAACCTTTCTTATCTGTAGAAGGTGACATTAATACTGGAAAAAAGGACTTGTATCCTGTCTAATTTGCAGGACGTTTAAATATGTTTGTATATGATACTAATTAGAACACAAGTATGGTTTTAAGTTAAAGGTTTCAAAATATATGGAGTTGTTTGTATTTAATTTCCATTAGACTAATAATATCTTTTTTTATTAAAAAACTTATTGCAGGTTATGGGGGACAGTTTGTTGTTGTCCTCAGTCTTCCAATTTTCTCGCAAGATAAGACAATCCATAGACAAAACAGCTGGCAAAATCAGGTGGGTTTTTAAAAATTATTGTTATTACTGAAAATGTTCTGCTCTCATCAACATTCCTAATAGTAGGAGAGATATGTATAATACAGATAGTGGAGGTGTATTTAGAAGCAACTTGTGTTTTAAAAAAGCAGTGTTACCTGTGGCCTTTTTAGCGGTCAGAAATATTTGGGATTAATAATTTTTTAAATATCATCAAGGTTTACATGGACAGAACAATATTCATCCATCATACTTCAGCAGAGGATCTGCTCCAACACATGCAAATGTTGTGCAAAATCTACATGATTTCTATGCAAGTCTTGTAAAACTCCCTTCCTTAAACAATAAGGTTAAAGTGTTGCTGAACTGTAAAACCAGTCCCTGTACATTTGCCAAGTTGTTGTAGGGATCATCCGTTTCAGGAAGAAAAACAAATGGTACAGAGGAGAGCAGTTTCAGTAAATCCTTCTGAAAAAGAGACAGTGTGGTCACTATTGAACTTTTAACCATCTGTTAATTTTTAATTGAAAACTCCTGCATTAAATGTCATAGTAGCTAACAGGAATTGTCAACAAAGATAACATGTTGCTCTACCAACAGTTGCATTTAACTTGAATGGGTGAGTGTGCAGGCATTTGTTGACAAGAATAAATGAAAATTCTAAACACAAAATTTCAGATTGTATAATTCACATGGCCTTCTTCATGTCTTTGTGCAGTTAATACTAGAGTTAAAATAGAGTGTGTTAAAAATGAGAAGGTCATTTGGCTGAACTTAATGTATAATTTTCTGAATGTGAGGAAACATTGTAATTGATCAGTTCGTCTAAGTCAGATGCAGAAATCTTAGTTGGGTGACAGATTAGTCACCAAATCAGAAATTGATATCAGCATAGGGTGATGTAACTAGTAAAAGCAGCAAAAAGATAATGTATATAAGGTGGTATTTTCATGGGAGTACTAAAAAAGACTTGACCATAGTAATCAAGAAGAAAAAAAAGTAAGCTGTATAAATCAGTAGAAACTGTAGTTTATCTGCCATTTCTAGAAGGAAGAGTATCACTGCATGAAGAATGAAGTTGTTAAAAGCCTGCAGCCCATTGTTGGGTTTTTCCCAAGTTCTTTTGTGTGTTGTGGTTACAGGTAGCATTTGTGGGTGTCTTATTTCCACCATCTGGGAACATGTCCCTGGAGTGACATTCATTTCTCTAATTCCAACTCACCGTTTTGGGGCTGCAGAATTAGAGTATCGGAAATATCCCATGTGCTGCCTTTCCCTCTTTGGTTTCCTCAAACACATGATTTATGTATCGTAATATTTGGTTGAATATCCATAAACAAAAGACACAAATGTTTTCTGCTATGTACATTTCAGATACAAATGAGTTTGTGACATGCAGGTATACAGTACAGCTACTCTCAAAAGCTATGCCAAATTAACAGAGGTTGACTTTATTATGCAGAATTCATTGCAAATTATGCAAAAGTTCGCAACTCATTCAAGTTTAATCAACCTCTGAGTACATGCCATCATTTACTTTAATAGCTGATCTAAAACAAATGAGCAAATAAATACATGCAAAGAGGTAATTAAGCGTGACCATTCTTTGAAAGTCATCTTAAAAGGCATTTGAAATTTGGAAAATTAAACAAAATATTACATTGGGGTTTTTTCGTATGATTCTGTGGGAAAATACAGTGCCATCCATAAGGAACTCTGCTTATCGATATATTTCTTTTCCTTTTAAAGCTGCATCATTGGAACAAGAATCTTGCTTATTGACTGACTTATTTGTGGTAGGCGTCTAGGATGACACGTAACTTAAATTCCTCAGACGAAGCAGATAGTAGATACTCTGCTTTTTTCACCATTACGATTTTTCGTGATGGTTGGCAGTTCCTGATCTGTAAATATATTGCTAACACAGCTGTAGTTTACTTAAAAAACTGAGTTCAACAGTGAGTTAAAATATTTATGTATGCAAATCCATTCTGAGAAAAGCAGGTAGCTATAAAATATAGTCTTAAACTTTTCTGATTAATTTTCTGGGCTCAATGGTTAAGTCAGCTATATGGTAATGAATGTAATACTGATGTGATCATGTATGATATTATAAATATAATCATACCTGTAGACATTGTATATACATTTAAAGAGACTGGCATTATATAATTGTATAAAAATACAGTGGAGAAACTTTAAGCAATTATTTAGCATATTTGCCATATTTGATCACAACTTCCTTTTCCTGCTACTTAGGATGGATTTGAATGCTATGATGTTATTCATAATGTCATTAGTATTTTGAATCAGAAAAACAACAATAGTTCTAGAATTGTTTTTAGAGATGATATAGGGCAGCTAGAACCTATTTCAGATTTTACCTTACCTTTGTTTTGATGTACATGAGTTCAAGCAACTGGTGTCCTTCTGTTCCTTTTGCTGGAGTTAAACCAGTTTAAAATTTATGCCCAGAACAGATGAGAATCTATCACGATTTGTCAAGCTACCAGTTGACTGTTTTTCCAAAGTACTTGAACCTGAAAGGAGAGGAGAGATTTACAGAGGCAGCAGTAAGAGTAAGCCTGGCTGTGTTATAAAGTCCTCTCTGTAATTTTATTGTTCACCAATGTAAACCTCTTTCCCGAGAGCACAGACAGTGTAGGGCAATTACAGTCCTTACAGACTGCATCATATATATTAAAAAATTGCATCCTGTCTGGGTCCAGATGGAGAAAGACGGGCTTCCTGTGAATGTGAACACTCTCCTTTCTGTTATATGTTAGCTGCAATAGCTAGCTTTAGAAAAAGGCCAGTGTCGCTTTGGCTGAAGTATTAAGAACGTAAATATTTTCAGTCATTCTTGACAAGCAGTTCTATCAGAAATTAAAATGAGCTGAAATCAATCATGAACCTAAATTAATACAAGGATAAAAGCAAATATATATCTTTTTGCTTGAGTAGTTTCTTCCCTGCTTCATTAGAGCTGCCTTTCCTGTTTTCAAATTTATAGATAATATGCCAGGTTCCATTGAGTTCTGTCATCGTTCCTACCTTATATTAAGAAACACGATTGAGAGAAGCTTTTGATGCTGTATTCTTCAGGTAGCTTCTCTCACTACTGGCCAAACTGCATTTTTCCCCCATGTCCTACCGTGGGGTTCAGATTACACCAGATTCAGGTGCCTGTTTATTTACTTTCACCAAGTCTTCTTTTTCTTCAGAATAAGGTCATAGCTTGGGTGTTGCTAAGTTACTTTGTTATAATTATTTTTTATTCATTACATTGTATAATCAGTTAGGTTCCTATCTGCTGTTGTACAAAAAATTATATTTATACATTATATTTAAGAATTCTGCAGCATTCTTGCCGTGTATCCTGTGACCCATTCTTTGCTAACAAATTGTGGTGCCTTCTCAGGAAGCAGATACGCAGTTTGTTTGCTTGCTTTTCTGTCTTTTATATGTTCTAATGAGTTTGCTTGAATTTCCAGAGGGTATGGAGGGAAGAGGTAAGTAGGTTTTGCAGTGAGATGACCTGTCTGGTTGCATCAGTGCTTTGCAACGTGAATGCAGCGTTATTGGCTTTCTTCGAGGCAGGAAGGTACCTTGTCGAGGCAGGAAGGTACCTTGTCGAGGCAGGCAGCATCTAGGCAAAGCATTCAGGTCAGCGCAGGTACTGCTTGTCCGTCTCTGCGGTTTGCTGTGCATCCTGCAAAGTGCAGTGAAATGAAAATGGGGACTGAGCACAGCCTAATGTTCAGTCAGATTTTCCCCAGAAAGTAGGACTGGGAAAGGGAAGAGCAGAAGGCGGCAGGCATTTGCAAAAAGGTTCTTTTGATATAAAGGGTATGGTTAGAAAGAGGAAGAGTAAAGGAGAGAGAGATGAAGACCCAAGGGAGGGGGTAAATATACTATATGAAAAATAGAAAAAAAATTTTGCAAGAAGGAAATAGGCTTCCTAAAATTATAGCAAAACCAAATTGACCTGTCCACTTCATAGTGGAAACAAGAACATTTTTTAAATTACTGTTTTCATTTCTTTTTCCTCATTTTTTTTAAATGACCTATGAAATGGAAAGCTTTCAAATTGTAAAAGAGGTGAAAGAAACATTATCCCTGGCAGAGTAAGGCTGAAAACACCACATACACAAGCAAGTTCATAATCATATGCATAAAGATAAAAATATTATAACACGAACAAGAAGGTAAATGAAAAAAAAACAAGCAGTGTCTCGTTAACTTTAATATTTTTCCTACTAGTGCTCTTTGCTTCTAGATAGACTCTTACTTTATATGTTCTTGCCGATTTCCAGAGTGATACAAATGCTGTTAAAGTCCAGAAAGTATAGCTGTACAAGATTTGCTCTATAGTGAATCAAAATATTTACAGGAGTTGCCTGGTTTTTAATGTAAGATCCTATAAGGGATTTAACTGGCTCTGCTTTTTATTTATTTAAACTCATTAGTGTCAGGCAAGTCCTAAATTTTCCTTTACAATTGGGCTTTCTGATGTCCAGGTTTGCAAATGTATGGCTTTGCAAGCCTTTGCACTCCCTTTCATGACATGAAAGCTATCTTGCCAGATCTCTGACAGTCAGCTTTGTTACAGGATGATGGCAGTACTTGAGGCCAGTGTGTTTCATGTTTTCTTTACTGTAGTTTCGATTACTTTTAATGTATTTTTTCCTTCCCCAAGAAGTAGTATGTATTCATGATTACTCTTTATATGCTTTATACGTTCATACCCTAAAGTCCCTTGCAGAAGTGGTCATTTGCCTCGATCCCATGACGTCGTGTCATGAGAGCAGCACCACTTCTCAGTGAAACATCTGAGAAAAACATGTTCTGAAGCAGCAGCGAGCGAACACCTCAAAGACAAAAGAGGAGTTGAAGCAGCTTCTGGATGGGCTGTCTACAGACAGCTGTGTACTGATCAGATAACATAGGGTACACGTTTTGAAAAACTAGACTTCCTTGACACAATAAAAATAAAGAGTGGGATATTCCATAGGGTATAAATAACTTATTTATTATAGTTATTTATATTTCAGGTATAAATAACTGAAGAGAGATTAACAGAAATGTCTAAGTCTCCCAGTTTTCTTTCAAATTCTTAGTCTTTAATGAGCTGCAAGGTGTCATGAATTTCCACCTTAAAAAATATTTCCTCTGAGAACTACCTACATTATAACTTTGTTAAAATGTACCACTTCTGGTCATGAATTTAAATTGGTTTGTTTGTTTGCTTAGCAGTTTTACTGTAGCTATTTCATTACTTCTAACTCTGAAATACCGATTAGAGAAGTGGATTTGGACTCCTCTCTCATCATGGTGTCACTTTAAAAAAAAAAAAAAAGAAGAATACCCAGACATTAAATATCTGCATGTTCCTTTTTTTTTTATATTGTGCAAATGTAGCCAGTTTTAAATGATGTTTATGATATGTCAGCAAAAACAAAAGTTACTTATCACAGCAGGGAAGCAAAACATAAAAAGTGAGGACTCTCACAGTATGCTTTCTGGGGTTTTGGAATAACAGAAGTGACTTATTTAAACATATAAGTGGCAGTTATTATTAGAACATATATGTACAGTTTGTTGAGACTTATCAATGAAAACTTCTTACATGAAATGCAGTTTTCTTTTAATTTTCTGAAATGTTTTATTTTTCATTAAATTAATAGAAAATACAAATGGAAAACAGTTGCATGTATTTACCACTGTTAACCGTTCTCTGCTGTTTTGCAGTTATTGTAAAATGCAGTGTTAATAGGGAATCCTCTAACTACTTCAAAATAGTTGCATTTTTTTTAAAAATGTCTCAGTGTTGAAGGAATCAGCTCTGTCTTCAGCAGCATAAGCAAGTATTTAGCTACAGAACTGACATTTTACTGTCAGTAATAATGATATTGCTGAAACTCTTTATGCTTCCCTGAAAAACTGTGTGGTTGGATTCTGTCAGTTTTCAATATTTCAGGGTTTACTTTTATTCAGTGCTCCCTGTCCTGCTTTCTAGTATCGTGTATCTAATCTTTCAGATTTAGTTTGTTTATTTTTGTCTATTTTAATCTTACTGTTCTTGAATTTCTTGTTCCTAGAATATTATTTAAGGACAAAGACAGAAATTGGGAAGAAATTGAAAACAAGTTGCGGGCTGAAAGCGAAGTTCCTATTGTGAAAACATCAAGCATGGTATGAATAGTTATCTTTTCTGGGTTCAAATGAGCCGCTTCTCTACTAAATACTCAGTAGAGAAATGTGTTATTTTCAATTATGTAAAGGCAAAATTCTTTAAAACATTTTATGTAGGCACTCTGTATATTTCCAGAATAAGCCTTATCTTGTTTAATAATTACGAAGACTTAACTATCTTATAAAGAAACAGTCTTAAGGAATTGTTCAGGGGAAATTCTCAGCTAAAGAATGCAGTAAAAGAGGTTCAGACTATATATAGACCAACAGTACTTTTGTTTAACCAAAGGTAACAACCATTAGTTTGAATGTTGGAATGCTTTCGAATGAAATTGTTTTACAGTCTGAAGACTACTTTACTGATTATTAATACCTAATGCCCAATATTAATATATAACGCTCAATACTATTAGTATTAATTATTAATTTTTAGATTAATAGTTGTAATTTGCTATAGTGAATAAAAATTATATGTAGACACATTGCTGTAAAAGCAGTCTTCACTCTTCAGTATAAAATGGTCACATTGATTTTGGCTGGAAGTGGTAACCGTAGGGTACCAACTACATTTCGAGTTGATTCACGTAGCCTTCTACTAATTAGGGCCATTTCATGACCAGGCTGTGTGACACAATGAAGGAGCGGAGGACACACATTGTTTCTTAGTGCACTTCCCCTCTGCCTCTAAACACAGAGCGTAGGGTTTGAAAAACATCTCTGCATGTGAGGGCAGGCAGAGGGTCTAGCTACATTATCCAGTGTGGAGTATCGTGCTGTTAATGGCAATTTACAGAGGCAGTTTTCTTTTTGAAGGGAAAAGTGGGAGAGGAAACTGCTCACATATGTTTCACTGGACTGCTCAGAAGCAAAATGTGAATGGATTTCCTCTGGCATTGAACTGGCTAGCCATACCTCTGTTAGCTCATCACGAGTTAAGCTCATCCAGATTAATTTTTCCTGGGAGTATTAAAATGTTGGCCCATAATTTTTGCAGAATGGTATATTTTTTAAGCGCAGTCATGAGTAAATCAGTGTTCTGATTTATTAGGTACACTGATGGGGAGGGGGGCAGGGATAAAGTTTAATTAAGCAAGTTACTCATGGAGGTTTCTAATTTTAGAAATAAGATGATATTATATCTTATCCTGTGCATTTCCAGAATAAGATCAGAGCTTAGTAGTTTATATTCTATATGCCATGATATGGGGCTTTAAAGCATTCATTAAAAAAGACAAGACAGTTGTATTTATTCTGAAGTTCAGCATTTTACTTTTTTTTTTTTCAATGCATTAAAGCATCTGGCATTGCTTGAAAGTGTGTGGGAGTTTTTTTGTTCTGTGCACTGATTTTCAAGTTTATGTTCAGTTTTCAGAGCAATATATTGTTCAAATGCAGTGCTTATTTTTACCACAGAATGTTATTAAAAGTGCAAAGAGGACAGTTGTAGCTGATTGTTTTGTCCTTGGGACATTTATGTCCAGCTCAGATGTGGAATCTGCTTAAAGATAATGACTTTCAAAAATTCAAGGTAATCAATTTCTTTGCCACCCACAAAAATCGCATTACTTAGTATAGAATGGATTTCTGAAATGGGTTAAATGGGTTTCTGAAATCAGTGCCTTTGAAAATTCTCAGCTTTTGAAGATCGCTGATAGATCTCCTCAGCAGCCGGATTAACAGTATTCTTCAGTGTAGGATCCTTCAGTTGTTGGATTTGCATTTTTATGATTTAAGATGGTGTACATCTAATGATTGATGTGTTTCTGAGTGCATCACTGTGGCTAGCAGTGATGTGTTAGCGAGTCGTGCAGCACAGAGGAGAAAAATTTGTCAGGCAGAGTGCTGAGGCCCCGCCACGGCAGTGCTGTGGAGGGTCTCGCGGGCACGGGGCCCAGCGGCGCACTCATCTTACTATCCTTGACTCACATCTGGACAAGGTTACAAATCACCCTCTTCCATTAATGCTGGTCTTAGGCTGTACCTTCCCTTTCAAGGTCTGCTCTTACCTTGCTCCGTCTGTACAGAGCCGTGGTGTCTGTAAGTCCGTGCCTGAGCAGTGGCGCGGGCAGGGGAGGGAGGCACGGACTGAGGCGTGGTTGCCCCTTGCCATCAGCTGGGGCGGAGGAGTGCTTGATTTCCCAGTAGGCCCCCAGCCACAGGCGTGTTCTTGATACCAGGAGGGACAGCCCAAGTAGCATATTGCGAAGGCTGGAGAGGGAGATTGTTTACTACTGATAGGTAGTTTGAGTCTTTCTCTTCCTTAATGAAACATGTTTGTTTCTTTCCTAGGAAATATCATCTATCTTACAGGAACTGAAACGAGTTGAGAAACAGCTGCAAGGTACAAATCTTGTTTCCCTTTTCTCTTTCATTATTGCTTCCTTTAATTTTTTTTTCTAATACCTATCTCTAGGT